GGTTCTCTGATTCTATGATTTTTGATGGCAGAAGCCTAAACAGCACTCAGATTATGGGGCAAGAGGTGCAGGGTTGCGTGAGTAAAATCTACAAGCCCCACCAAGATATGGTTACCAGACATCCCCATTTACCGGGGACAGTCCCCAGATTTACAAATCTGTCCCCGGACAAAATCTGTCCCCGGAATGTCTGCTTATATTTTAAGTGTTGTAGATTTATTAGTAGGGAATGAATGTTACGTGATTGGTTCAACGGCACAAGACACATCATATGGGGACTTCTGGCGAGGCAAAATGGTGGGTGCCACGGCAGCGAGCAGCTCCTGAAGCCAGCCAGAGCCAACTGCGCTACATGGCTGGCTCTGGGCTGCTGAGACTGCTGCTGCCGCAGCCACTGCCGAGGGAGAACCGGGGACGCTCGGCGCATCAACTGGGGGAACCGCTGACCCCCCCAACCCAAATCGAGCCAGGAGCAAGAGCACCTGGCCATCTGGCCAACTGTCCAGCAGCGCTCCAGGGCCAGTAAAACCCCCGGAGCTGACGCAGTGAGGAGGAGAGGAGAAGAAGAAGGATGAGAGAGAAAGAGGAAGGAGAAAAAAGAGGGGAGCCCCAACCTTGCCGTGCCGCCAAGGAGGAGAGGTAAGAGAGCACCGGGAGGGCAAGGACACGTGGCTGAGCCCAGGCCCGACCCTACACCATGGCGGCTAGCACTCCGAGACAGCAGGCTAAGGCCCAGAGGAAGTCTGTATGACAGAAGAGACCACAGAAGAGAAGATTTTATTTATGTATTTATTTATTTATTTAAAAATTGAATTCCTTTTTTTTAAAAAAAAAGGGTCCCCAGATTCTTTGAAAAAAATCTGGTAATCTTACACCAAGAGGCTCCTTCCAATTTCAACCCAACAATGTTTCCCCCCGTAAAATACAGTAGCTGTGGGATCCCACCACAAAAGGTGAGATTTACATGTCCCCTCTATAATCCAGGACCTGCTTATAACACTCAGTTCTGCCGTGAGACATGATTTTGACCGTAGAAAAGATTTTGGAGCGTGGGGTTTCCTAAGTAAAATTAAAGCATCTGTTCTTCCGAGGCTTGGTATTTACTTTTGCGGCCTGTTAACAGCTGCGTGGCAATTCTAAGAAGGGAAGCAGACAATCGATCATTTATTCCCACAGCAGCCTCAACAACAAGGTTAGAAGCAGCTGGTGAGGGTGGTGTGTGTTTTTTCCCCTGAATGGCAAGCGCTGATGAGACGAAGATGTCAGGCCAGCAGCCTGCTATACAATCCAGCCATTTCCACTTGGCACACCCATGTCTGTAAATAATCAGAGCTGCTTCACTGAGCTTGCCTCTCCGGCGCCCAGGCTAATGAGCTATAAGCATTGCACCTCTTGGAATTATTCACAAGTTCATCTGCGAAGGTGCTCAAATGACAAGGGTGTCCACACATTGTGTTCAACGAGTGTGCAGCCTATGTACACAAGCCATTAGGCAGTACACTCATTCAGTATTTCATGGAGTGTGCAGTCTCTGCACCTGTGTATGAAAAGAGTTTAACCGGTCAACCCAACACGTGCACAGACTTTCATAGGTTTTCGCGTACAGTGGTACCTCGGGTTACATACGCTTCAGGTTACATACGCTTCAGGTTACAGACTCCGCTAACCCAGAAATAGTGCTTCAGGTTAAGCACTTTGCTTCAGGATGAGAACAGAAATCGGGCTCCGGCGGCGCAGCAGCAGCAGGAGGCCCCCTTAGCTAAAGTGGTGCTTCAGGTTAAGAATAGTTTCAGGTTAAGTACAGACCTCCGAAACGAATTAAGTACTTAACCCGAGGTACCACTGTACTTTTTTTCAATGAAGCACAATGTCTGTTGTTGTTGTTGTTGTTGTTGTTGTTTAGTCGTGTCCGACTCTTCGTGACCCCCTGGACCAGAGCACGCCAGGCACTCCTGTCTTCCACTGCCTCCCGCAGTTTGGTCAAACTCACACTGGTAGCTTCGAGAACACTGTCCAACCATCTCGTCCTCTGTCATCCCCTTCAACAACAAAGGAAAAGAAGAACATTCCAGGATCAAATCAGAAACCGAGATGGCTTCTGTAAGTCTGAGACTGTCCCTGGAAAATAGGGACACTCTGAAGGTCTGTATGTGGATAGAGGGAGGGAGGGAATATTTTAATACGGTCCACACAACCAAAACACTGGAGCCTGGGCCATTCAGGCAAATGAACCACTTTCCCACCAACTGTCTCGCCAGAGTGGTGCATGCTCTAGTTATCTCTTGCTTGGACTACTGCAATGCGCTCTATGTGGGGCTACCTTTGAAGGTGACCTGGAAACTACAACTAATCCAGAATGTGGCAGCTAGACTGGTGACTGGGAGCAGCTGCCGAGACCACATAACACCAGTCTTGAAAGACCTACATTGGCTCCCAGTACGTTTCCAAGCACAATTCAAAGTGTTGGTACTGACCTTTAAAGCCCTAAACGGCCTCAGTCCTGTATACCTGAAAGAACGTCTCCATCCCCATCATTCTACCTGGACACTGAGGTCCAGTGCTGAGGGCCTTCTGGCGGTCCCTCACTGTGAGAAGCCAATTTATAGGGAACCAGGCAGAGGACCTTCTCAGTAGTGGCACCCACCCTGTGGAACACCCTCCCACCAGATGTCAAAGAGAAAAACAACTACCAGACTTTTAGAAGACATCTGAAGGCAGCCCTGTTTAGGGAAGCTTTTAATGTTTAATAGACTATTGTATTTTAATATTCTGTTGGAAGCTGCCCAGAGTGGCTGGGGAAACCCAGCCAGATGGGTGGGGTATAAATAATTTATTATTATTATTATTATTATTATTATTATTAACCTCACCTTCCTGCTCTCACCTGACCGCCAATCAGTAAAAGCATCACTAAAACATTAGTATGTAGCAATTGTTTAAAAGGGGGTGAAATTCAAAGGCTGGTCTAACCAATACAGTTTTCAGAAGATGTTTAAAAGAAGGGAGGGATGGTTCCTGGTGAACTTCCAGTGGCAGGATGTTCCACTGGGCAAGGCTTTCCACATTAAAGGCTTGGTCCCTAGAAAGGGCCAAGCGAACCTCAGGTATGCTGGGAAGCACCAGAAGTAGTCCATCACTGATCAAAGTGGAGCATAAGAGACTAGATGACCCTTAATGTTTTTTGTGTGCCTGGCTAGCAGAAATAAAAAGCGGCTCGCCAATTAATGCAATTATTTCCCTGGTATAGGGGCCATTCTGCTGAGAAAGCGCATAATGCACATCCTCAGAAGCTTTCTAAGCACAATAAAGGCTTATTATATAGTGTGCCTACATAGACATAACCGTAAAGTCTTTGCATTTAACTCAAGACAAATGAGGGACGAAGCTGGAAATGCAGAAGGGGAAATTCTCCCTGTGAAATAACATTACAGCTCTGTGATACTTCTAGTACTCTCCGCGTAAAAAGAGCTGGGAAATAATGAGGCATTTGGTTAAAACTCTTTAAATGTAAATGAGGAGTAAAGCAAAAGGAGAATTATTTCCTAACTCATTCATATGGATGACAAAGGCAAAGAACTTACTCTCCAGTACCAAACAGAAATGTGAACTCCTGTTAAATGGTGCCACCTGGTGACATAAATTGGGCACACTCTTATTTAACTAATTTATTGCCAACCTCAAAAAAAACCCCACCTGAAAATAAGGTGAATTCTGGAGAGTCGTACTGTTCACATCTTTATAAGCGTTAACAATTGTTTTTCCTGGGAAGCTGTGATAATGTCAAATGGTATCAGAGCCAATCTTTAAAGCTGTTTGCAGAACAACAGGCCACTAGGTATCAGAATGTTTTCAAGTGAGGATTTATTAAAGTCTGAATACTATAAAAGAGGAAGAGGAAACAGATCACTTTCAGACCAGGGCTCCACAGGGTCGTGTCCACAATTTTGTGAGCCTGGTAGCGATGGAGAAACGTGTCAATTTCGGCTTCCGAGGCATGTTTCTCAGTTTTCCCCGTTGAACTTGCTGACAGCTCTTTGATCCTCAGTTTTCGAATGTTTCGGAAGTCAAACGGACTTCCAGGATGGATTACGTTCAAAAACCAAGGTTCCACTGTATTTTCACTACTCTGTGTATTTTTATGGACACTTTATGCATTTTTTTCACATGCCGCTTGGCTTGAGAACTGCATTGGAAAAATTTGGAGGAGAGCAGCAAATTGCAAAGGCTGGCTGTGCTTCAGCTCACGTACCACTTCGGAAATTACAAATTAGACTGGTTCGCCTTTAAATGCAAGCTGAATGGAACTTCTCTTTCCCTTCCCCTCCCCTCCCCGGTGCCTGGTAACGTTTATATAATTATGACAGAAAAGTGAAGAGAGTTGCTCTTTTAAAGCAAGCTATGCTGTTAGAGCAAGCTAGAATGGATGACAAAGCTGGAACCAGAGGGACCTGGAAGCAGGGAAACAGGAAAAACACAGGAGCGAGAGGTGATCTTGCATCTTTCTTTAGACAACAAATGCTGGTAGGAAATTGATTTAGGAGCAAGGAAGCTGCAGTTAATTACAGAATAGTAAAGGTAGCAGGATAGGGTTGCCATACTTCCCAGACATATACAGAATACTGCAGTCGGCAGGGCGGAAATTGGTTCAATGTCCAGGAAAATTCAGGAAAAGCATGGCAGCTTTTTCCATATGTTTTTACCGTTCTTCCATAAAAAAAAGCTCAAAAAGTTACTTATTTTTTGCAATTTTGCCCGAAAAGCTCAACAACTTTGGCCAAAATAAAAAACAACAACTTTTCTCTCCGGATTTTCACTGTTTGAAATATAGCAACCCTACAGAAGGATTGAGGCAGCTGCTTGGGGCCTGGCGGAGCCGTTCTCCAGAGAAGAACTGTAGGACCAAAACTGTAGGACTTCAGCGTTTGCAGACCTCTCTCATAGAATTGTAGTGTCAGAAGGGATCCTGAGGGTCATCAACCCCCTGCAATGCAGGAATCTTTTGCCCCACGTGGGGCTCAAACCCACAACCATGAGATTCAGAGTCTCATGTGCTAACCAACCGAGCTATCCCAGGACTTTGCATGGTGTGGATGTATGTTAAATATATATGCCTGCATATCTGTGTGTGGTGCATGGGAGCGAGTGTGTTATGGCCCTGTTCATTGCCAGCTCTGGTGACGTATACTTTCCTCCACCCATCTTTTGTTTTGGTCATGTTCACTGTTGGCATGAATCCCTTAGAAGGTTAGCCATCAAGGACGGTGACCCTCCAGCTCAGAAAGCTCTCCCACTTTCAGCTCCATCCAATCGCAAAGGCCACCACTCTTCAGATTTTTCACGGACAGGTGTGGTTTAACAATCAATCCCTCTTCCCAGGGAACTCTGGGAGTTGTGGCTCCCTGAATGGTATAGGTGTCTCCCAATGACACTCAGCACAAACTACAGCTCCCAGAATTCTTTGGGGGAAGCCACGACTGTTTAAGGAGGTGTTGTAGCACTTTAAATGTGTGGTGTGAATGTGGCCCACGTCTGGGTGGCCTGGTATAAATTCACTACTAATACACTATTATTGAGTCAATGGCATGTTGCAGAATACATCCACCCCAAAAAAACCACCGGTTTGGAGACACCCTAAATTTCAACAGCTGGTCTAGTATGAGAGGGTGGCATCTTGTCCTTCTCAACCTGCCAAATTTCTTGGGCCAATCCTGGTCCAAACTTGACCCCTTGCTCAGGTCTTCCACCATGGTAAGTGACCCCTTGCTGAATGGTCAAGTGTCCCTATTCTCCAGGGACAGTCCTGGATTGACAGAAGCCATCCTGTTTTCTGATTTGATCCCAGAATGTCCCACTTTTCCTTAGGACGTCCCTATTTTCCATCAGAGAAATGTTGGCGGGTATTAAGTTATGTGACCCCCAAACCAAGGAGATAAGTAACTATATAACCTTTAGAAGACATCTGAAGGCAGCTCTGCATAGGGAAGGTTTTTTAAAATGTTTGATGTTTCATTATGTTTTTATCTATGTTGGAAGTTGCCCAGAGTGGCTGGGGCAAGCCAGTCAGATGGGCGAGATATTATTATTATTATTATTATTATTATTATTATTACCTATTTTCATTGAATAAATGTTGAAGGGTTTAGTCTTCCAGAGCTTTTTCCTGACACCCGCAAAGTGAGTCGATAATCCTGTAGCTTCAAGCTAATGTGAATTGGCAGAAAACAGATTCGATCTTGTGGCAGTCTCCCCCACCCCCCGCAATTCTTCTTCTTCTTCCAAAAGTACATCTTTTCTGATGGGATTCCATTTGACAGGTAGGAAACGCTCGCCTTTCGAGACCCTAAAGTGTCTGTCTCGTAACTAAAGCGACGGATGCTTGCTGGATCATTGGGCTGGATATAATGCAATCAGCAGAGCAGTTTGGTTGCTAACACAGAATAAAGGCATTTCAGAGGACAGGAGAAATTTAACTTGAGTGTCGTTTCTGAAATGGGTAGGGCTGAGTTGTTTTCCTTTGACTTTTGAGCAGTTAGCTGCACGCATGAGCAGCAACATGCCACACTTTCTAGCGAACTGCTAACACAAAGAACGAAGACAGCAGGTTCGAGGTAGATAAGGAAGCACTTCACACAGTGCACTATGGAACTCACTGCCACAAGAAGTGATGGCGGCTGCCAATTTGGGTGGCTTTAAAAGAGAAGTAGAGAAATTCATTGAAGGGAAGGCTGTGGCGTTCATACGGAGCCCCCGGTCGTCTCACGGACTATTGACCACTAATCTGCTGCCACCAACCAGGTCCTCCCTGGTAAATCACTTAGTCTCAGTCAGGTTCTTAAGTTAACAATGAAGATTGTAGTTTATTGCAAACATAAATAAACTTTAAATGCATTCGAAACGCTGTTACCCTTTACCCTCTAAGTCTTATTTTATTCTGTCTCTAACTTTTCTACCTCCCCTCACACAAGAACCAACTGCACTAACTGTCTCTCTATTTCCATCTGTCTTCTAACTGCTTTCCAACTGCCTTTTCCCAACCAACTCAGGTTACATACGCTTCAGGTTACAGACTCTGCTAACCCAGAAATATTACCTCGTGTTAAGAACTTTGCTTCAGGATGAGAACAGAAATCGTGCTCCAGCGGCGCGGCAGCATGGGGCAGCAGGAGGCCCCATTAGCTAAAGTGGCGCTTCAGGTTAAGAACAGTTTCAGGTTAAGAACGGACCTCCAGAACGAATTAAGTACTTAACCCGAGGTACCACTGTAACTATACCTCGGGCTAAGCTCTTTTATAAACAGGTAGGCTTTAGAGTGCGAAAGGGAACAATAGAGTCACAAAAATTCTCTTCTTTTAACCATCTGACACACACAGATACCTTGATTTGTTCACGTCAGTCCTGACTTCCCGCTCCAGGATCAGGACGAAAATAACTTCCTTTTACTGCTTCAAATAGTCCAAAAAAATATTCCCAATTTAAAATGTTGGATTCCACTCTTTTTAAAAGCAATTTTCAAAGCTCTAGTACAATTTGACTTTGCTTTGTTATGTTTACAAAAGAACGGAAGGGTGACTTCCTGTTTAGCCCTTACCGCTCCGTACCAAATTCAATCAATTTTTCTTTCTTTTTCTTTTTTTTATAATCCAATTCTGCCCTTTTCACTAATCTTCCTTTAGTATCCCAATTTGTCCAAATTCTGGGTACTCACGGATATGTGTTTTAAAGTCCGAATTGTCCAGGAAAAAGGCAGCGCTCTCCGGCAACAGCTACGCGGCTTCACTCCACAGATGACGCAGACGACTCACAGCACAGCGCCTCTGGCTTTTCTATTGGTCTACCTATTAACTCTTTCTCTTCCCCTGTACAGACATTTTCAAACGAACGGGCAAACGCCACATTGGCTATCAATGGCCACTAGCCAGGATGGCTAGACATAACTTGCAGTGGCACTTTATTAGTGGAACGGCTTCTGACTGGAGACACACATGGCAATGGACTTTTTATTATTTTGGCGGCTTCAAGCTCTGACTCACCTGCCCAAGACGTTTTGTTGCTTAAAACTAGAGATTGGGGGGGAGAGGGGGAATAATTTGCTTCACATTCAAATGAGAACTTTCCTAACACGCGCTTTTCAAAACAATGTGTGAACTGAAACAAGAAGAGTTTCGATTTGATATCCCGCTTTATCACTTTATCTCAAAGCGGCTAACATTCTCCTTTCCCTTCCTCCCCCACAACAAACACTCTGTGAGGTGAGTGGGGCTGAGAGACTTCAAAGAAGTGTGACTGGCCCAAGGTCACCCAGCAGCTGCATGTGGAGGAGCGGAGACGCGAACCCGGTTCCCCAGATTACGAGACTACCGCTCTTAACCACTACACCACACTGGCTCTCACAGCTGCTTGAAATTCTCTTACTTTTACTGCACCATTCTCTAGCCAAGTACAGTGTGCTGGGGTAAAGTGTAAACTGAATATGCTAGTGAAAATAGCACATGGAAATGTGTTATATTAGGAGAGACTGCTTTGCAAGAATGAGCAAATTAGGCAAAAATGCATCCAAATGTATTCATATGACAAGAAGTTTGCACTAAAATGCTGGTGAGCTTCCATGAGGGTTGCTTTAAAACACAAAAGGGAGGGGAGTTCGGCCTTTATACAGTACCACAAACAGAAGAGCAATGAAGCCAAGTTCTGCAGATACACTCCAAGCAAGAGCCACCGTTTTTTCTTTACAGGTCTTTTATAACAGCAGTGTGATCTGCAAACAATAGCAGTAGGTGTGGAAAGAAGCGCTTCCACAGAAATCGTCTAGCTTATTTTTGTAGACCAGGCTCCTATTAAAAGCACAGCAGCAGGCCAGGTGGGGTTTCCTGGTCAGCTGGCAACTCTTTTAAAAAAAATTAAAAAAACCTTTTATTTTGCTTTAAACAAATACAGATAAATATAAACAACCAAAATTACAAAAGAAAAATCCTTAATAATAATAATAATAATGGAAAAAGCTAAAAAACTAAAAAAAAAATCAAAGTACATGGCATAGAACATAAGCCATTATGGGAAAGGGGAAAAGGAAAAGGGGGGGGAGAAAAAAAGAGAGGAAAATGAGCCAAAACACAAGAAAGCTTGTCTACTGTATAGATGAGGTCAGCTGGCAACTCTTATTCCAAAGGCTCCCTGCTTCTTAAAAAATAAAAAGACTTTGAACCAGATCTTTAAAGTTAGATTTTACTCTGGGAAGCTAAAAGAGGTAATGACCGAATGTTGAGGCCAGCTTCCAGCTACAAAGCTGGTGAGAATTTATGCTAAAAATATGAAAGGGGCTCCAATTAGCAACATATCGCTTGTAATTGCCGAGAACGAACAAAAGAGCATGCATCTGAAATACAGGTGTGGGGGTGTGTGTGTGTGTGTGTACACAAATCTAACAGCATCTCTAGATAGGGGGCTCGCCCACACTCTCACCTGTGCCAGGCCTAGAAAGAATGAGTCCGATCAGTTTTGCGCTGTGCTAATGGGGCTTTACTCGTTGCTAGTATCTCATGGAAACTAAAAGGCATGCAGCTCATTATGAGAAAAGCTTTTTCATGTTAAGTAGGGCACCTACATTTCTGCAGTGACGCATCCCTTTGGATTATCTCTACTAGCCATAAGGGATATTAAACTATTAACGGTGGCTGCTCAAGACTTCCTTGACTCTGCTCTCACCGCAATGGTATGACATTTTCTGTATTTCAATCAGTGTGTTGCAAATATCTCAATAAATGCATGAATGTGGCATCTCAAGAATGTAAAAGCATTCGCAAAAAAGCCATTGCAAAATTGTCAAAGGCCGCCAGCCTCTTATTTGTTTATTTATTATTTCATAGAATCACATAATTATAGAATTATAGAGTTAGAATCTAGTCCAACCCCCTCCCCACAACACAGGATTTATTTGTTTAATTTGTTTATTTATTGTGATTTATTTATTTTTTACACCCTGACTGAAAGGATATAAAAGGATACAAAAACTGTTCTGCTGGATCAAATTGGAGGGTGCTGCCCCAGCCAGCCTAACTCAGACAGGAAGACCTGGATTC